CAATAACTCGTTAAATATTAATACTAGCGAAAAGTTTTTATACAGAAATTGTAGATCTCGTCGTCCTCTACAAGAAAGGTCCTATGCAATTTTCCCGTAGATTCAACGGTTTAGGAGTAATTAAGGAAAAATGAAATTTTTTGCCAAAAGTTCGCCGTTTCGACGCTGGGATGGTCGGATTTTGTCAACATCAATAAAATGCCAAATAATCATACGTAGCTCGTTAAATATCGAATTTAGAAGGAAAACAACTTTTATTTGAAGCATTTTTCACAATTTTGAAAAAAAAAATTTTCGTCAGCGTCAATACTTAATTGGATATTTCCTTCTATACTTTTTAGCACGTAGCTATTTATTATTAGCATTATTCTTCCGACGTCTGATTTCTTTTTAATTATAGGAAATGCGTTTTTTTAAGGCACATAAACTTTTGGGATTAACTGTATAGCCAATACATCCTTAAAATGTTTAACATTTCGATGAATCGTCGATACGCGGTATCAGGTTGGAAGATAATTGATACCCGCGACTCTTCGCCGATTCCTGCTTTTCTCGGTTCACCTTTTCCTCGCGAGGGATCTGATTGATTTCACAACGAAACTTTCGCATTGGATGGAAACGAGTCGCGGGATCTCGACCCGCGAGGGACGTCGACAGAAGTGACGAGGAGACAAACGAAGTAGATTAGAGGTGGCCGAAGAGAAACGAAGCGAGGGGCGTTAATAATCGATATAAGAATCTAATTTTTTATTGTGCTCGCATTACCTGATTCTCTTGCGCGTCTCGTCGAACGACGGACGCCTCTTCTCCTTATCTTCCTACGAGCGAATTTTTCCCTGAGGATGATTAGGAGAAGGCGGACCCGGTCGCTTGTACGTATTTTCTCAGCCGTGGGCACACGATGAAACTTCGAGCGGTTTTATTCTTCTTTACGATGACCCCGCGAATATTTTATAGGCCGATTATTTTGATAAGCTCGGATGCGTCTTTGCACGGAAGTGGAACAAGCGTTTGTCCTAGCTGTGTAACCGACTCGTTGAAGCCGGGCCGTCGGGGGACGAGAGATAAAAAAGATAATCGAGTCTGGCGTGAGAGGAGAGCAACGGAGTCGAGTAAAGTTTCCTTCGTAGACTGGCAAGCACAAAGGGCGAGCATTTAAGAAAACGAGTGACTCTTATTCCTGTCGTCACGAGAGTCCATACCAGTTTCGTGCGGCTTGGAGCCAGCGTGCGGATAATTTTTCCCTCGGCCGAAAAGTGGGGACGACGCGACCATGGTGGGGACTGGTACTTGATGGGGGTATGCTAGGCATGGTCAGCGAAAGCGCATGAGGAGAATAGTAGTGGGGATCGAAATACGAGCGAAAAAGAGGGGAAGCGAGCCGTGTGGGAAAAATTATCCGCACGCTGCTTGGAGCTAGTGGGGTAGTAGCGAAAATATAGAAAGCATTAGAGAACGGAATGAGATGCGGACAGCGATTGTAAACTGATCTTTGCGCACTATGGACTCTCGTGACGGCATACATTCGACGGTTCGTCGTAGCTGAGGTAACGCGAGCTTCAACGGTTCACGGGTACACAGCGTCGTTTCTGATTTCCCCGTATACAGGTCTTTTTAACCGTCGAATCCTAGCGCTAACGTATATTGAACTAACGTATATACGATGGACCATGTTTGTCATACTGAAATGTTTCTAAAAAAAAAGCAAAAAAAATGTGCGTGCGTGTGTGAGAGTTTTTCCATGGTTTTTCTATGATTTAGAAGCAGAGAGATAGAGAGAGAGAGAGAGAGAGAGTAGCACGAGGCGTTCTGAGAAAAATGTTTGAAGAAACTCGAACGAACTTCGCACCGTTCGAGCCGTAGTAGTCGATGTCTCGCGTAATCCTCAGATAACCTCGAATCGTCACGGGGTCTCGTTTGACGCTCGGAGGAGACGTATCATCGGAACAACGAAGAGAAGAACGTTTCCTAAAGAGATTTCATCGACCTTCGAGAGGAACATAGGAGACCTCGAGACGGTTTTACCGACTAGCTCAGGCATGGCCAAAGTTGTCGCCGCGCGACACGACCTTGCCCGGGAGCCGAAATGGAGCACGCAGTCCGAACGGTTAATAGTGTGTATGATGCACGCACGTAACATACTGAAATAATGTGAGGGCTTCCTGGGCCTACTGCACGAAGTAGGGAGAACAGCTACAGTGGGGCACGTGTACTTGGCCATGCCTGGACTAGCTCGACGCTACGATTCACGCCGTTGGTCCTTGCGGACGTGAAGGTCGCGAAGGATCGTAGAGAAGAGTCGGAAGGAGAAGAGACAAAATCGAATTCCTCGAGTCGTCGCCACCACGACGTAGACGTAGAATACGACGAACTTCACACGAACCGGACACGTGTACTAACATTAACCACTCCGCATCAGCCGCAGGCAGACACGTAGAAGAGCTGGATCAGTAGCCAAACCGACGAAGAGCGGGACGCGAAATACTTACCTGAACCAGTACTTACTAGATCGAGCAACGAGTTTAGAATTCTGTACAGTGAGCGAAAAGAGTACCGGGAGGAGGGAGTACGAGGGATGCATCTCTGTCAGGCTCCGCATCTCGGGGGATTCGAGGTACGAACCTTTCTTCTCTGTCGGGAAAAGAAAGTCGAGAAATAAAAAGAAGAAGGAGAAAACGGCGAGAACTGAAAAAAAAAACAAAAAAAAAACAAGTGTAGAAGCGAGCGAAGCCTGTAAATAAAGTAGAGTCTCGTTTGTGGCGCGTCCGGACTTGGTTCTTCGGTCCACGGATATGCGCGACACATAATTCTATTCATTAGATCAACAGAGAAGAAGAGTATACATATATATATATATTATGAACACACACACACATACAGGAGGCACGCGCACCAGGGTCAAAGCTAGCTGTCTTCTCCTTCTCGGGGCCGGATCACGTCCTCTCAGATCCATGGTGTACAGTTTCGGTGGCCGTCGAGAGACGGGGGGGGCCCTCCCCCCGAGGGGACTCGGGTACCGGCGTGCGTAAACGTAGACGAAACATAGCTTCTCGTAATTGTAATTATGTGAATTGTAGAGGGACATTTAACTCCGGGGATCGCTGCGAACACGTACACGCATATACATACATCGTTCACACGTACACACATATCTCTATTCAGAATTCATTCTGGCTTGGTGTGGTAGAGGTGAACGGATCGGGACGGATACGAAATCGTGGCGTGGGCCCTACTTTCGATTTCTAGTCAGAGGCGACCTTCTGCACGCGCCGATCCGCGCTGGAGAATCTTTTTAGATCTTATTATCAGATCTTAAAGACAGATGTTGTTTGTATCAGATCGAATTTTGTCTAGGAAGTGGTCAATAGGGCCCAGGAAGTCCGTCAGGGTTCCGTGGTTGAATTCCATCGTTCATCGAACAGGGGCATATGTAATTAGGTCGTAGGTTTTACCCTGAAGCTTTCATCGTCCTACATATCATAGAGAAAGAGAGAGAGAGAGGGAGATCCTTTTGTTTCCGCGGCGGAGAGACAGGCCTACGAAGGGAATTGTCAAAGCGGTTGGGATATTTAAATAAATAAATAAGGGAGGGCCTCTAGTATTTGATAGGGAAACGAGCCGCGTTTCGAGACAAACGAGAAACACGCTTTTTAGGATTAGTCGCAGCTTCGACCTAGCCCCTCCGAGAAACTTTGACCAGGGAGTACGAGTCCGAGCTCCTTCCCTTACCCTCGATCATTGTCATTGACATTGATTTCTGATGAGAAAAAACAGGCATCGGTCCCTGTTTCGAATTCTATACAATGAGAGAGGAAAGGGACGCGGCTCCTTCGAATTTATTCAGTTTTCCGACATATCCATCCTCTGACCTCGTATTTTCATAAATCAAGATTTAAACTGCACACATCATCATCTCACCTCATAAAGGTTGGTCGATAAATTATTTTCATAGTCGATTTTCACATCGATCTCGCGCTGTTCTTGTATCTCACAGCATTACGAACCACCCGTACGTTCTTCTTTTCGCAAATCCCCCCCCTTCCCCTACTTCCTTCATACCCAGGAATAATAATTTTGTACAAAATGGATTTTTTACGATCACTTCGAGTTATGATTCCCAATTTTCGTAAACGGTCCCGCGCGGTGGAACTCCGTTCACGTGAAACGTGCAATAGGAGTGCCATTAGTCGTTCGTCGTTCTTCACTCGAGTGAAAATCGTTGGACCGAACGGAGTTCCATCGTGCCGATGATTCATAGAAGTGTACATACAATAATCAGTGCTTAGATCCGCCACACGTGTTTATCTACCGTCAATGGGGAACGTGGAGGATGCTTATGAATTATTGTTATAGAGAAAGAAGTATGCGAAAGCTATCCGTGTGAGTGATTAACCGCGAGTTCACTTGTTGTATCATACACCGTAGTTGGAGGTCCGTCGCACGTTCAACAGTTAATTTCCACTGGAGACATTACGCGATAGGATTCGTTTGCATTTGTACAAAGAACAATCGTTTCGTTGTTTCGTTCGACATTCATCCACGAGCGTATGTATAAATAAAACGTGAGTCAGGTCCGGGACTCGGCGGAGTTTCACGGCTTTTCGTTTCCTGTCGACACCGAACGCGAGGCTGATCTCCTACGTAGAATTCGAACTTTACCATCGAACGAGTGGAAAGCGCGCGAAGAGGAGAACGGGAACCACGCGAAGAGCGATGAAATCGCCGTGAGAATTGAAAATTCTAACTCTAGAAATAAATATTTACGTGCGGTGAAAAAAAGAGAGGTTAGAAAAACAGATGAATGGCAGAGCGAGAATGGGTCCGAAGGGGGTTGTAAGCTGGAGCGACTGTCGACTTGAGTGAATGCGAGTTGAAAACGGGGAACGAGGTATAAATACTAATTTTTAGAGGAGGTACGGAAGCGTAGTACAGTGATACGAACGAGCGACGGAGATATCAGTATTCGCGCGACGAAATATAATAGATTTTACAGGCGTTAAGAACGATTCGGGATCTCGAGCCTCGAGGATCGATCGACCGGCTGCGTTCAATGGCCCACGGGTATGCGTGCGTCACGTGGCTAGAACGTGTGAGAGGATCGAGCGCGAGAGAAATTATATATATATATATATATACATACACACACACATATATATAT